GTTAAATTGGTGGGAAACACAAACACAAGTTCACAACCAGCTGCTTATTTACTGGTTCACTCACTATCTCTCTCTCTCTCTCTCACTCTCTCTCTTTTGCATATCTATATATATATATATATATATATTGGGTTTTCCTATTAAAAAACTTGGTCTCTCATTCAGTCATTCTGTTTGGAAGTCCCCAAAATGCAAAATCCAAAGGGTGGTGGCAAGAGTTGGAAAGATGTGATAAAGTTAAGGGACTGTAGAGAAAATGGAATATAGAATGAACAGAACAAATTGGACAAGTATTGCTATTTCAGACAAGTATTTGCTAATTCCAAGCAAAATAAAGGTCTTGTCCGTTATGATAAACGTCGCTTTTCTAGCTAAACGACAAAACCCACTTCAACTGGAAGTGAGAAAATAAAATAAAAATTCACTCACCCAAGTCCCAAGTCCCAACTCCTAACTGCAGATTAGGTATGAAATCCATTGCTTGTAGCCGGCTTTTGTTGATGGCTGCCGCATTTACAATTTCCCATAACGTTCAATAAGTCTTTTGTGTTTCTCTTTGGTGGTTTTTTCTTTCTTTTTTTATATTTGCTCAACTGTATCTATTTAATGTTTGACAATATTATTATTTTCTCATCATCTTTGTTTTTATTTTATTCTCTTTTCTCTTTTGTTCACAATAATTCTTCAACAACCTCATCTTTGTTGGAGAGAGGCATTGTATTGTATTGTATTTGCGGGCCATAGGAAAATAAAGGTTGGTGTATTTAGGGAGGGAGGAATTATTTATTTGTGTTGGCACAATGACCACACAACCTAGCCAGAGGGATGAGGCTACTAGGCTAATGCATAGTATACTATAGTGCTTCTTTCTGCTTATAGGCGATTCGATTGATGATTGAAGCAAAACTGAACTGAAATCGGACAAAAATAATCAGCTTCTTCTTTCTTTGAACACCCATCCATGAGGAGTGGGATAGGCAAATAAGTCAAGACGAATCTTAAATAAAGAGGAGATTACGCCAACGAGGGTGGAAAAAAGGGCCCATATTCGGGACAAATCCTTGACCCACCACTAGCAACATCGATATTGTTCCCAACTTAACCACCTGTTTACCAGGTGTGGGGTTTTATACAAAAGGCCTCGACTTTCCTATGTGGGACTTATATTATTCAACAACCCCTCCCTTTTGTAGTTTAGACAATTGCTTGTCTTTAAAGAAAAAGGATAAATTACATGAAATGTCACTACTTAATATTAAGAGTTGTATTTAGATTCCAAATTTTATAATGAGTTACCCTATTCTTATTTTGAAAAACAAATAGTTCATATTAACAAAAACCCTATTCTCTCCCAATAAACCCTCCTAAAGCCATTTTCATTTTGAGGTGGAGGAAGCCACTGTTCTTCCTCCTTCTCTTCTCCCCTCATTTTTAGAGACAAAAGGTTTTCCCTATTAGTATTCTTTTTGTTATGATTTTCGTCCAATCATTACAGGCGATTGTGTCTCTACTTTGGATCTTCACCTGCGTTTCGGCGTTGGATCTCCACCACCATTATTTTTACGGTTTTTTTTATGTTCGGAATAAGTCATAGAGACTTTTTGGGTTCTTTGTGTAGTTTTCATATCTCATTTTGTGAGAGCTTTTCACCTCTCTTTGTGAGAGCTTTTCATCTCTATCCTTTGTGAGAGCTTTTTATCTCTCATTTGTGAGAGTTTTATTTGTATTGTTATGGCTTGGTTTTTTGAAACTTTATCTCTTTTTGATTATTCTGAGTTTGCAATCTTAATTGAGATGTCTATGCTAGAGTTTCTTCGATCCTGCGTGATCGTTAGTAGAGGTGCACCATATTGTCTTAATTTTGATGTTAGACCACTCCGTTATTGTAATGACATTTGTGACTAGTGGCTTTTTTAGTGGAATTATAAATGCAATCCTAGAATTTCTATAAAATAAAATCCAAATTTTATATTCCCTCTTATAATTTCGTGCATATTCCTCAAGTTTAGTTTAACAAATCCACTATTATATTGAATATTATTTGATCAACAGCTGTAGGTGGCCTTGACTTGTGAAGCGTACATGGGATGCCACTCATGATCGACATATATAGCGTAACATTTACGAGAGGCGCCGTACAAAGATGGAAGGATTCAATTTTGGTCAAAGTAGAATGAGTGAAAACGGATCGCAGTCTGCGACTGAGTCCACCGTTAATTAATCAAGGAAATCAAGTTTTGATTGTTGACCAATGATACTATTGGACAAGCATAACATCTCTGTTTCTGGATAATATACATCAAATCAAATCCAACTTCTCTCTCTATATATATATATATATATAGAGAGAGAGAGAGAGAGAAGCTTTTCAAAGGTTTCTTGTGGCTTATAAAAAATGATTAGCTGGAGGGAGCGTATTATTTTCTCAAGCTCTGACCTCTGATCGATGCATGTATCTTTACTTTACAGCGGCAATTTGCGCCCTAAGCTTTATATATCAGTCTCTTTTTAGCCACATTAGCTTTGCCTCTAGGAAGGAGGAGAGGAGAGGTGATGACGACGAAGAGAAAAGTTGTTGCTCAGGTCAGGCTCAGGGTCAGGGATCATGTAGTCTGTAGATATAGATAAACCTTTTTGCTTTTGTCTTATTCCAAATGCCCTATTTACCAGGGAGGGATCATCATCGTCATCATGCGCAGCTTCTTCTCCACCTCTCAAAATTCATGAATTAATGAAAACACACATCAACTTTATATTTTCTTTTTTTCACTTCATTTTATATAATTTAAATTAATATCCCATTTTGTATCAGATTCAGATCAGAACTACTTATTAAACCCTAATTTTTCATGGTTTTATTGTGTTCAAACGTCAAATCAAGCAAAAGTTACTAGCTTGAGGGGTCGATATGGACCACATGGTCCCATGCATGCACGCACAGTTCCAGCAATCCCCTTCCTCATAAATCACCAAAATAGCCTCCTTTCTGGAATTTATTCTTCTTTTTTATTTTCAAAATAGTTTGAACCCAATTTCTTTTCCCTTTATTCTTACTTAGAATGTTGGTTTGACCCGTTTTGCCTATGAGTTTGGTTTATGAATCCTTGATATATAATTATAAGTTTGTAAATAAGTTTTAAGCCAGTAATATACAAATGCACGAGACAAACAAACAACCATTTATCTATACGTTGACCAATTGACCATTCTAATTTATATATATATATATATATATATATATATATATATAAAAGAAAAAGAAATAAATCAAGTGAGAACAAGTGACCGTAAAAGAAGAAAATGATGGCTCAATAAAAAATGGTCGTGACCCGTGGGCGTTGTAGTTGTAGACTATGGCTAAAAACCCAAAACACCAAGGAAATGAGGAAACTTAGGAAAAAATTTTAAATGTTCCAGGTACACCACGTGTCTGGTGTACCATCCAATAAACATAGAACATGTGGAATTATTATCCAACTTACTGCATTTCTTCTTATGACATGTGGCGGACTGCATTGGACATATTCCATATGTCTTCCGTCTATTGGATGGTACACCAACCACGTGGTGTACCGGGAACACTCAAAAATTACTCGAAACTTAGGCACTAAGATATAAACCCTATAAGCACGTTTGTGTGTTTTTCGCTTTGCGTTTGGCATTTTATGTAGAGATTATTTTCTCTCAACTGCTTTATATTTACACGTCATAATAATAAATCTTGTCAAAAAATTATGTAATCAAACCCGCCTACAACAGATTCACATGCACAATATAATATGATTAACCTCGGGTTCGATCTGGGACGATTAGATATAGTTTTATACGCCCAGAAATAGAAAAATATATTCCTTATTTTTTATTTATGAATTATGAATTATGTATAAAAGTTGGAAGAACGTCAAGGTCCCAAATCGTGGGCATGGAAGATTCAAGACCGGATCATGGGCGGCTTTTCTTGTCCTGAACTTTTAATGCGAAAAGTAAAATTATTATTGCTTTGTAAAAAAGTTTGGTAGTTGCTTTCTTTCTTTAAAAAAAACAAGACAAAAAAAAAAAACATTTGGGATTTTGGACCTCGGGGACGTGTTACAGGCCGTATCCTCCAATAATAAAGAGGTTGAAAGGCGCGTAGAAAAAATTGGTAATAAAGAGGTTAGCTTTAAATTAAGGAGGAGTCGTTATCCTCCTTCTCTTCTATGTAATTTAGACTATTATTATTAATAAATAAATAAAAAAGTCGCCGTTCCTTACTTATTTTTGGGGTTATCCAATTGTAAAAGGAGTTGAAAGTGGGAGTTCCCAATTCCATGACCGTTATTGGACCGTGGAAGCGCGTTGCCTAGAAATGTTCATATTGGTGGAGGTGAGGTGGAACCAGTGGGTTTCTACCAGTCCATTACGGAGGACAACATTTGTCCTCCACTTTTACCCTTTCTTGTATTATGAAAATTTTAATTTCATAATATTGGATTCGACGGATATGGACCAACGGTATATACTACATGGAGAGTCAATAGGGACACAAATATTGTCTTTATTTTTTCGGTAATTAAATGAATTTATTAAGCAACAGGTGGGGACATACCAGATACCACTACAAGGTCAACAGACCAACCAAAGACATAGTACACAAAGGGTACAGTCCAACTAAAGAGACAAACACCCCAAGCTAACAATACAAACCAACCCCAATAGCAAATTAGCAATTAGCAATTAGCTAAGGGGGGGAGGGGAGATTCCATTCCTCAACAAGGAAGCCAGATTTGCATTTCCAAGAATACGAGGCCCAAGGAATTATGAGCAATGCTAGGCATACCGCATTTGTATATCACATTGTGTTCCGAAACCCACAAATGCAATAGGGCACATTCCTATTATAGAGAGGGGAACCACAAATGTAATATGACTATCTTTTTTATTACACTATTTATATGTCTCCCTTTTTTCGGTTACAGGGAGGCAAATCGATGCATCATTTCGGCATGCACTGAGAATTATATGTTGTATTTGGCGAGGCTTTTGCGTTTTCTGGTTTGGCGGATTTGTCCATCCTTTGCCATTTGCTTATGAGTTTATCTTGTCTTATATATATATATATATATATATCTCTCTCACAATCCTTACAATTAGACTAGCTCCATTTCACATAAAACATATCCTAATCTGAGTTTAATTAATGGGGAAACTAATTTACACGCTTTTATCACCATCTTCTTCTCACTCACTCACATGTATACAAACTGAATTATATACGAAAAGAGCAAGGGTTGGTTGGTGGTGTCACGAATCACTATAGGTAATAATTTGCTTATGTTAGTTTTACTAATATACAATACAAACAAACCAAGTATCTCAAATTGCATGAAGCAAACTCCATTTCAAGCCCTAGTCTAGTGAAAGTAAAGATGAAGCCAACCCCATGCCAATGGCCATGCTTATGGCTATTTTTAAGGTTTGCAACACGACGCCTGCAACAGCCCAGAACAAATGGACCATCATGATTCAAGATGATGGCATCTGTGTTTTCCAAACTGCCAGATGATCCATCCTAAACCTAGTTAGCTGAATTAGCATATGCCTGCTTATAAAGGAAAGGCTCATGCTATGCCAAACAAGTTTTCATCACTTCAGGCCAACCTTGGTATGGCATGCTTCAATTCAATGAGATTGGCTTCAAAGTCAGTGATATGTTATACATTCAGGCCAAACAAGTCAAAATTCAGAGGAATCATACTGAAAATCCAAAGACCATTGGCTTGCTGGCTCGCCTTAAACCAAAGTAAAACCAATCCAGTTTGCATCATCACTCTCCACCGTTATAATTAGAACTAGAACAATCATTTGAAAACCAATGTCAACTTCTTCATAACTACTACCAAAAGCAAATTCAAATTTCCTAGTTTCAAGAGCTGACCAATAGTCAGTCTCCAAGGGGACCACACTCCATCTTCTTTGATTTCTCTTATTTGACATCCTCTTGGTGCAATCCTTTCATCTTACATTTAATTACAGAGTTAACAAATTGTAGCACACAAGCAGCTATCAAAATTTTAATATATTTTTCTTTACTCGATTTATTTTAATCTCTGCCTCTCTCATATCTAAGTCGACTTGTACCTCACTGCATACAAAATTAGTGTGTGCTGCAAATTCTGCTTATAAATAATTTCATTATCATTACTCCTAAGGGATAATTGTCGAAATGTTACATAAACTTATACCTCAGTTTCAATTTGTCATCTTCAAGAAAAATTTAAGAGAAATGTCACCTTAATTTTTCAAAATTCATGATTTTTCATTTGACTTTAATACCATCCAATTTTCCATCCAATCCATTTTATGGGTATTTAGTTTTTTTCATTTCTAAGGAAAAAAAAGAGAGAAAAAAGAGACATCTCTCCCCCTTTCTCCCCCACCCCAACCTCACTCGCCCCCAAAACACATCGCACAGGACCCCCCTCCCCCTTCTTCTCTCTCTCTTTCTCTCTCTAACCATGTATAAAAAAAAATTATAATGATTTTTCCACTTTCAAAATACCCTTGAAAATGAAAAATACTAAAATACCCTTAAAATGGATGGAAAATTGGATGGTGTTAAAGTCAGATGACAAATCATGGATTTTGAAAAATTAAGGTAACATTTCTCTTAAATTTTTCTTTAAGGTGACAAATTGAAACTGAGGTATAAGTTCATGTGACATGTCTACAAAAGTCCCTTACCTCTAAATATAATTCAAATTAAAACTCCAAGGTGTAATTATACCTGTGTAACCATGAAGACAGTCCACTCAGACTGCTATATCTTGTATTCATGTAAATGAGTAAATCAAAGATATGATCAAATATTCTCAAATTAAATTGAAATCACAAAGTTGAAAGGACAAACGAGTCATGGGTCATACTAAAATTGCACAAACAACAAACTTAACTTAATGGACAAGGTCATCATCTCTACCAATTGAGACAGTTAGTTACACTAACCTCCTATTCGCTTTACAGACCCTTTACCTCTTATGTGCTCCTCATCCTCTCTAACAGGTACATGAGCAAGGATTTCTCAACTTTGGAGCACAGGCGGCTGCGGAGCTTCAAAAGTAAATGGGGCACTAATGTCCATGGCTGCAAGCCCTTCTAATTCTTGGATTGCGGCAATGGCACTAACTTCGCTTTCATTATTTAAGTAAGGTTTTAGTGCACCAACAGCTTGCCCCACTTTAAATTGCTGCAAATGACATAGAAACAGAATAAAGACACTAGCAAAGTCAAAAGCGGGAAATGCAGTCATATTCAATGAAAAACTAATTTGAAACTTATTCAACTTACAAAGTATTCAAGTTTCCTCTTAAACTCTCCATTGGCAACCGCTTGTGAGTCAGGTGCTTCAGTTGTTGTCACTAATGCATTCTTTTTACCGAAATAGAAAAGAAAATGGCAACAAATTCCAAGTAAGTAAAGCAGCGGGAGGATAATAATATTACTACACATAAGACATGAATGAAGAAAAGTCTCGTAATTTTGTCTTTCCTAAAAACAATACAAATAATTAGGTATTTTTGGACTGAAAAAGAATGCAGACTTGATTAAGGGTAATTTCACTAAAAAAATTAAGTTCAAAATCAGATTAAACTTTTACATAAGCATTGATAATTCTTATGTATCGTCTTCCTTGCCAATTTTCAGTTCTTTCTATTTTACCCTTTAACTCTCTCCGCATTTTGTTAATATGTTTATTTTCATCCAATTCTTATGTTCATTTCGGAAACTAAATACTGCCTTAATATCTTTCGAATTAAATAATTCTGCAATTCATTTTCTTACTAAATTACAAAGTACAAATCCACTAGCCAGTAGCACCTAACCCCTAGAAAACAAATCATTATATGATTATCCTTTCGCTGTTGCCATACATCTGTAGGTTTACTTAGTTGTAATGCAAGCTTATATCTAGTTAGTTAGTTTCTCAAAAAAATATTTTCCTCCACTAGAGAATACAAGTGCCAAACTATACAACTACACAAGGTTTGTTTACTAGGAGATTCAGAGAACAGAATTACCTTCTTGGGCCTGCCCACTGGCCTTCCAGTACTTCTCTTTGGCCGTTCCATTCCAGGCAGCCCAGGGGGTCGGCCCCGCTTCCCGGGCACTAAGCCACCAACACGAACAGCAGCAGCCGCATCCTTCTTCTTGGGCCGGCCTCTGGGCCTTGGTAGCGATTGTTGTGGCCCGACCACATTGGGCACGTTGTTCTGCTCAAATGCTCCCATTATAGGGACATTGGTAGCGTACGGGAAGAAGACGCTCTTGGGCTCAGCTTTGGAGGGGCGTCCCCGGCCCCTCTTCACGAGGCCGTTGGGGCCCACAATAGCGGATACAGACTTTGGCTTCGGAGGACGCCCTGGCCTCTTCTTCGGCAACCTCGGCCCTGGCGGGCGACCCCGGCCCCTCTTGGCGGACACAGGGCCACCACCAGCTTGTCCGATCCCAGCACCTACAACCTTACGTGGACGACCTGGGCGCCTTTTCACCGACGCTGCTGGCTCGTCAACCAGTCCAAGAGCAACAAGCATGGGCTGCGAATTTTGCTGTATGGTGGGCTCGGGGAAGGCCTGAAAATGGGGGTGTTGCTGTAAAGTGGGCTGCTGGGGAACGGGAATGGGTTCTTGTAAGCTGGGCTGCTGGGGAATGGGAATGGGAATGGATTGTTGTAAATTGGGCTGCTGGAGAATGTGAATGGGTTGTTGTAAATTGGGCTGCTGGAGAATGGGTATGGATTGTTGGAAAGTAGGCTGCTGAGGAATGGGTTCTTGTAAACTGGGCTGGTCAAGGATGGGCTTGGTTTTGGGAGGGCGGCCACGGCCCCTTGAGGGTCCAGCAGACGGAAGAGCTGTCGTGTCAGCGGCAGCAGCAGCTGACGCATTAGGAGGCGGAAGGGAAGCATCAGATCTAGGAAGCTTGTAAGACTTCTTGACCATAACGAGGAGACCATTGCTCTTCAAGCGCTTGAGATGGTGGGTCAACAAGGCTGAGTGAGTGGTTGGGAGGCCCGAGTAGGCTCGCTCTATGTACTTAGCTATAGCCCTCTTGCTAGACCCGTCCTTCTCCTTGAGGGCTGCTATGGCTGCATATATCATCTGTACCCAAAAGAGTAAAAAGAAAAAGAAAATCAAAACAAAAAGAAGACAAAGGTTAGAGCTTTGCTGAAATGGTAGATGAGTTGTGTATTTAGTAAATTACCTCAGCATAAGGGGGGTGATTGGAAGTAGGGTTCGGAGGAGGAGTGGGGTTAGCAGCTACATGGGTGGTGGCGATGTTATTTTGATCTTCAGTGGCGAGGGGAGTGATGGCTGGGGCGGCGGAGACGATGGCGGTTGTAGTGGTGGCGATGGGCGGTGGATAAGGATGTGGAGTTGGATATGGAGGTGGGGGTGGGTCCATAGATTTAGAGAGAGAGAGAGAGAGAGAGAGAGAGAGAGAGAGAGATGAAATTTTAAAAGGGGTAGGTTTGGCGTTGGACTTGGGTCGCTTGGGTCTTGAGTCTTGAGAAGGGTAAGGGATAAGTGAATTTTGTTTTGGACAGGGGAGGAGAGGACGGGAAGGGAGGAGAGGAGATGATGATGATGGTTGATGGGATCGGGAGCGTGTGAGAGGGTGGGTAGTTTAATCGGACCGTCGAGAATGATTCATGTATTCGTGCTCCGTTATGTGACGCGGACCTTCTCTGTCTTTTTCCGTTTTTATATTATTTCTTCTTTATTCATAAATATCTAGATAAGTCATTGCTTTTGCAGCTGAGTCCTTATCATTTTAAGCACATTTCTATAAAGGGCTCTTATGATCTTATCCTTAACCCCCCCTGTGTTTTGTGAATTGAAATCCTTTCCTTCTTTTTTTCCTTCTACTACTTGTAAGCTGTATCTTTCAAGCATAAAGCTTTACTTTTTTGTGTTTCCCATGTGTGCTAATAGCCTCATTGGGAAGGAAATGTAACTAGCCAGTGAAAGGTATTTTAATTATATAAGTTGACAAACAAAACTAGTATATAATTTCAGAACATTTCATAAAGTCATTGTTTAAAATAGGTTTGGTTTGGATCTGATTTAGATCAAAATTGGAGAAGTTAAGTTGATAGATTGAGCAAACGGAAAATGAAGTATGTCTTGTTGAATAAGGAGCAACCTCCATTTGGCATCAGCCATTGTATTATATTTGAACTAAATTGTGGCGTTCGCATTCGCATTCGCGTTGTGCATTTCTTAATTTAAGAAGTCTAATCCTATCGAAACTAAAACCCCATGCTAGTTTACCATTAATATATAGTAACACTTCTCTGTATAACGCATGCTAGCAACCTACATTTACTACTAAAAAGAAATTAACAAATACGCCAATCCTATCTAGGCTTATGGACTTTATTGCCCACTGGATTGGCTTATCTCATGGTTGGTGTTTTGATTACACATATGATATTAAGAAATGTTAATTAGGTCTTCTCCAAGTCAAGCGAAACCCATTAATGAAAACAGTAAAGAATGAATTTCTTGCAATCATTAGCTTTTAATCCAAAACTTTAGCACTTAATGAAAGTTTGGGCAAGTTCTGCAGCATTATAAAAAGCTCACAAACTGTCGAGCAAGGTTACTACAGTGGCTGTGGCCCTCCCACTTAAAAGAAACCCTATAATTTCTTTCCTCCCAATGTAACCGAAAATAAAAAGCTCACAAACTAATGAAATGGGAAATTGGCACTACTTAAGTTATAGCCAAAACGCATTAAAGAAGGGTCAATCACACTGTGTGTGGCCTCTAGTTTGTTCAATGCAATTTACGTTGGTTTGCTTTTGTTCATGCACAGTCTCCCAACAAGTGGTTCATTCATTTACAAATTGTGCTATTTAAAACATTTGACTTAAAGAATTATGCTAAAACAAATATGCAGCAGGGTCAGTCAGCAGACATTTTGAGAATACTTTTTCTGTGCTGTGGGGTGGGGTGGGAATTCAGAACTTATGAACATGAAGTCCTTTCAAGTGGGCCCCTACATATTAACATTCCAGATATCGCCATCCGAATGCATGATTCTATTCTATATCTATACTCTATAGAGAGCTACCTCAAGGGAACTTCAATTGATATACATATATGCATGAAAAAAGAGGAGAGACAAATGGCGTTGATATGGGACAGGGAAAGGGAGGGATGCAACAGCAACACCCCTCAAATCAAGAAGATTGTTGAACTAGCTGCTTCATCCAAACAAACGCACCAACTGTCTATGTCCATATCCATGGACGAAAACGAAATTAACAAGATCCACGCCTGCCTTCGAAATACATGCACAGTGCACCTGCACACCCCAGATCACCCACCTTACTCACAGGTAAGATAAACATACCCACATTTATTAATGTTCAAAAACTTCTATATTAGTCCCTCTCTTTTTGTTTCATTTCATCTATATATATATACACACACTCTAGATCTGAAATAAATTGCAGATGATATTTAAAGCCATTAACTCGCTGAGTTATGAGGAAGGTGGTGCAAACAAAGCTGCTATATCCGCCTATATTAAGACAGAGTTCCATGATCTGGCTTGGGCTCATGAAAGCCTTCTCTCTCACCATCTTGGCAAGCTCCTTGAGAGAGGCAAGTTGGTTACTTCTACTACCGCTGGTGATTATCTGCTTCTCCTAAACCCTAAATTGTTATTGGCACATGAAGATTTGAATCCATCAAAGCATTCTCGGGGTCGGGGGCGGCGAGGAAGGCCACCAAAACCGAAACAAGGAAACAAAGAAAACATGACTAAGAGAGAATCATTGTCTTTGTGTGAGCAAAGGAAAAGGCAAGGAATTAACAAGGTAAGTGTGGAGGAGGATGGAAACCCCAAGAAGAGGAGAGGAAGGCCTCCCAAGATATTAATAAGTGACAATCAGCAGTTTTTGAGAATTGGAAGGACCTAATGCAAAGGAAAAGTAGGCATGCGACACTTGACATGCACCCAAATAGGTGTAGCATGATTAGTTAACTTACCATTACTCCAAAATAAATACTTAGAAGACCTATAACGATTATTATTCTTCTTTTTGAAAAATCATTACGCTTTACCTTTACCTATAATGTTGACACATCTTGTCATCTTGGCAATTTCGCAACTACTCTTTACCGATAATGTTGACAAGACATCGCCTCTAACGTGGATATACATGTTGTTGGAGAGCCAAAAAAAACCCTAAAAGTAAGTGGAAAATGGAAAGAAAGGCAGAGTTAGAATAGAAGGATTCTTCCTTTTCCCCCTCTGCTTATTGACAATTCCAAATCAGGGAAATTTAGTTCGCAACAGTCAAACATCTCTTCTCAATACACAGTGTATAAACTGCTGGCAATCCAGTTGTCCCACTTGATCAATAATAATACCTTTGAATTTGTTGAATGGATCATGTATTGTATTGTAAAAGTCTTTAAGCCATTATAGAAACGTTTGACCACTGGTTTCAATCAATCATACCCTTACATTTATCTTGAAATTATACACTCAATAATAAGTTATTTTTTAGTACAAGCAAGCGATAGTATAAACTAAACTACAAGGGATGGGATTTCTCACACACACACAACTATGATGTCGTGAAAATTCGAACCTAAAACCTCTAATCTACAAGTTAAAGTCATTTTTCATTGGGCTAGACCCCATTGACACACTCAATAATAAGTTATAAGTGTGAAGCATGAAGATTGATTAGTGATTTACCAAGAATAAAAATAAAAATCAAGCTTAATATGTTGAGTACGACCCAAGATTTGTTGTAATGAATTAAAAATTGACATAGATTTAGGCCTCGTCAATGGGTCGAGCCAGACTAGCCCGACCCAAATTTAATGGGCTTGAGCTGGGCCGAGTTGGGCTTTAAAGAGGAAAGACAAAATAACGGGCCGGGCTAAGCCGGGTTTGTTTTTTAAAATTCAAAGCCCAAGCCTAGCCCATGGGCTGGGCTTGAAAAAGCCCATCGAGGCGAGCCTAAATGGACCTACTTTATTTTGTCTTTTTTATATATATAAAAAATATATATTTATTTGTCAATTCTTTATTTTTTTTTTTCTATGTTTCTTTTTTTTTTTTTTTCATAGTTCTCTATTTACATTTGTCTATATGTTTATATCTCTATTTTTTTCTTTGTTCATAACTTCGTAGTTCTTTTTATTATTATTATTATTTCCATAAATATAAAGATACAGTTATACAACCCCATATTAATAAAATCATATTTTATCCCATACTTCATTTTTTTTAATTCTTACAATGATAATAGATAATGATTTTCTCCATATTTTCATTTAACTTGGGTTTTTATATATATTTATTTATATGTATGTGAGCTCATGGGCTGGGCTTTTATGGGCAGGTCGGGTCGGGCTTGGGCCAGACTTTAGACAGTCAAGTTCAAGTCCGGTCCACTCAACAACGGTTCGAGTCGTGCCGGGCGGGCCCCCATCTGCATATGGGCTCGCAGGCCTAATGATGACCCCCATGGCGGATCCACAGAGGCGCAAGGAGGTGCAGCTGCACCTCCCCTCGCCGGAAACTTCCTTGGGGATGCTGGAATTTGCCCCTTCGCTAGTGCCCACCAATTGTTCGACTAAATGCCTCAAAGACGTTGTATTGTTTGCTGCTGTGTGAGACCCTGAATATTTACCTTATATTGTTGGGCTCGATCTCACGAGCATGTAGGAGAAAACGGTTCATCAATCGGAGCTACATAACCAAAGTTATGAATTTTTGAAGTTTTTCTTGAATATTTGAAGTTAAGTTGCAGAGGCACAGTTTAAGGAAGAAGAAGACTCTGCATCAGCGCTTCTGATTTTGATTTTTTTTTAAATGGCCCAATAGCAAGCCAACACATGTCTATTTCTAATTGGCCTAGCTTAAAAATTCATTAAATACTCATATGTGTGCCAAAAAATTCACTGAAAATTACCCCAAACTTCTAATCACGTGTACCTTTATTTCATGACCTCCAATTTACATGTGCTTTTGGTTAGATTAATTGGTAAATTTTGGTTAGATTAATTGGTATTAACTTTTGTTAGATTAATTATGTAATTGACATGGATTTGTTCATATTTGATATGAATTTTGGTAAACTCACTGTGTCAATGACAAGGATTTTGTTCATATTAATTGATATTCATATAGACTATAATCAATTAGTTGTAGACGTAAAACTTTTATTTGTTTTAATTATGAGTGATATTTTGCACCTCCCCTGAAAAATTCCTGGATCCGCCACTGATGACCCCTACATAGATTTATAGTGGTTTTGAGTAATTGCTCCTCCATGCAAGGTTATGGATTCGAGTCATAACATCAATGTAGTGTGTGTCGTGTAGTATGTGTAAGTTTAATATATTATCGCCAATCTCAATAGAAAATGTCAAAAAAAAAAAAAGGAAAAAAAAAAAGACATATAGACCATGTCGTGAGGAAGTAAGACATACATTATTGCATTTATATGACATCCACAACGAAAGCCCATCTCCCAAAATGCAAACTTGTTAAACTCCCCTTCCTTACAAAGTCCACAAATCTGCCCATCTGATCAAACTCACCCTCTCTCTCTCTCTCTCTCAGGCACAGGAGCGACCATTGAACCCGAAAGAAAACCCGAGAAAAAGAGAGTGGCAGATGGCAAACCCAGAGAGAAAATAGCGAGTGAGAGAGAAAGAGAGCGGGCAATGCTGCAATTGTGTGGCTGTGAATCCTCAAAGGCTAAAAGGGGCAGAGTATATGGGGAGCGGAGCTACTCTGGTGGAGGGTGTTCGTCGCTGGTTTCAACGTCGCTCTTCTTCCACTTCTACAACTATTAATACTAATCCAAATAATAATTCAAAGCAACCCAGTAATAGTAATTATAGCAGAAACAACTTTGTCAATGATCATAATGATGCCCACGTCTCTGTCTCCGATTTAAGCCCCCAATCGTCCACTTCTCACCAACGGGAACAAAAGCAAGGCCAAGAGTACCAGCTTCAGTTTGAGGTTGAGGACGACTTTGACATATCTGGATTGAAGCTCATCTCAGTTCCCAAGCGGGCCGACTTCAGAGCTCCCCCTATGGATTCACAAAAGAAGGTCCTTTCTCGTTTCTTTTGTATTTCAGGATCTGGGTTTCTTCTGTTTTACAGTTCCGAGTTTTCTTTTTCGATTTCATTATATGGGCATTGATCTGATTTGTTTTTCCTTGCTGCTCTGTTTGATTCCTGCTTTGCTTTGCTTGGTCGAATGTGGTTTGTTTTCCTAGGCGTCGGTTGGTTAGGGAAAATGCACCAATCAAAACTGAGTTCCAACTGTTAATGGCGTGGGAGAAGTTTTTAGACCTTCAAAGTTTATAAATTCATGATGCAGGAGCTGAGAATACTTGGATTTTTCCCAATTAAACCTATTTTTACCTTGCTCCTGTAAGGTTCATTGCTGAAGATAATTTTTTGTTAACAAAAAATGCACTGGTGTTCTTTAAACCATCTTCTGGATCTAATTATTGAAGGACATTCAATCATATTATTTGCTTTTATTGTTCAATAATGAATCAAAAAAATAAAAAAGTTACTCCCCTATGTTTGTTGGTAAATATTCTCCTACATTTGTTTACAACTAATGGTTGTTGATCTTTATGCAGGGCAATCTAGAAACAGAGTTTTTCACAGAATATGGAGAGGCAAGTCGCTACCAAGTTCAGGAAGTCATTGGGAAAGGAAGTTATGGTGTTGTGGGTTCTGCAATTGACACCCACACTGGAGAAAGGGTTGCAATCAAGAAAATTAATGATGTTTTTGAGCATGTGTCCGATGCTACAAGGATCCTGAGAGAAATAAAGCTCCTTCGCTTGCTTCGTCATCCCGACATTGTTGAAATAAAGCACATAATGCTTCCTCCTTCACGACGAGAGTTCAGAGATATCTATGTTGTTTTTGAGTTGATGGAATCTGACCTTCACCAAGTTATTAAGGCAAATGATGATCTTACTCCTGAGCATTATCAGTTTTTCTTGTACCAGCTGCTTCGTGGCCTAAAGTATATTCATACAGGTTGGTCTTTTTCGGTAATTCTTTTGGCCTTTGCAGTTGTAATGATAATTAATTTTTTCTCTGCACTTCTTGCAGCAAATGTATTTCATCGAGATTTAAAGCCAAAAAACATTCTTGCTAATGCTGACTGCAAATTAAAGATATGTGACTTTGGGCTGGCTCGCGTATCTTTCAATGATGCCCCATCAGCTATTTTTTGGACAGTAAGTTGTTCTGTCATGCAAATCATGGCATGTCACCGCACAACTCCTAAAATATTTACTTTGTATGGTTGTTAATCAAAAGTCGCTAATTTGCTTTATTTTTTGAACTAAAGTTATTTTAAGTTGCAAATACTGGGGCTATAAACAACACTACGTGTGCACTAAGATTTTTTACTTTTATGAAGGACTATGTTGCAACTCGATGGTATCGTGCTCCTGAGCTGTGCGGTTCGTTTTTCTCAAAAGTAAGCTACAGTTACATTTTAAAGATCTTATATTGTATATATGCATTTTTTGTTTTGTTTTGCATTTTACTGAGATAGCTAATGGTATATGCATAATAATAGATGATTTTATTTTGACCTGTGGTCTTGAAAAGCCACATATTCTGGCACTGCTAATTCAGCCTAATGTTTTGGTTTATGCTAAAAGAGTTACATTGAGCAGGTTAGCAGCCATGTGATCAGATAAAGAATTATGTGGATTCTAAACCCTTTAGAGAAATTGTTGTTAATTCTTCATTATGGGCTTTCACTGTCTCTATCTGAATGTTATAAGTTGTTATGGTTGTTTATTGCTACACTATTGGAGGTTTTCTAATTTCTATGACCAATATCTTGGCAGTACACTCCTGCAATCGATATTTGGAGCATAGGATGCATATTTGCTGAAATACTCACTGGAAAACCGTTGTTTCCTGGGAAAAATGTGGTGCACCAATTGGATCTCATGACTGATTTGCTTGGCACACCTTCTACGGAATCCATTGCAAGGGTTAGTTATTTTATTCTAATAACTGCAGTTCTGTCATAAAAATGCTCTTAGCAGGCTGCCACAAAACTTCTCAATTTTCTTCACTCTTACAATTCTTATACTAAACCATTTTCTATATTGTTACATGTAACCGCCAAATGCTTAGTTTTATGTTAAGCTTGCTTACAGGCACCATTCTAGTACTCTTTATCCCTTCAAATGATTTATTTTCTCATGAACGTGGTAGATTCGGAATGAAAAAGCAAGAAGGTACTTGAGTAGCATGCGGAAAAAGCAACCAGTTCCTTTCACACATAAGTTCCCTAATGCAGATCCCTT